GGTCCCAGCATTTTTTGTTATGTAAATCTTTGCTTACTTATAAGTAGTCAGTTATGTACATGGTAAATTTTGTTGCATGAAAGGTACCCATAGATCCCAATAACTTTTCTGTTTAAATGATTTCAAAAGATATTTTGTTGAGGGGTAGCGTGATCGAAATGAACAAACTACTTCAGTATTCAACTGTCGAATCTTTAACACTTTCCTTGTAAAACCCATTAAATGTAATTTTATCCAATGCCTTTGTTCGAATAACTTAACTCGTTCCAAAAGATCAAGTTAACTTATCGATAAAAGTTGATGAAATTCGAAGGTGAGGTATATTTCCAACACATTCACGACGCAAATGTCAAATGGAAAAAGACAGTTTGAATCTCAAGGGACTAAAATATTATTTATAACATTTTGAAAATCTGTTTTTTTAAAACTCTGTGTTTTTTCGTAGCTTCCCTTAAATATAAATGTATGTATTAAAATGTAAGTTTGGTTAATTACTTTTTATCAGAAGCTAATAATGACAGTGAGTAATCGATAAAACGAGTAAAAATCAGTTATGACACACGATATAAATCCTTTTTCGAACATTATTTATATGGGTTTTTTTTTCTAATTTTCATAACAATTAACTCGGGTCACTTAGCTTCAAAATACTATTTACAGGTGACTGATTATAAATCAGTTGGACAGGAATTAATCTTGATAAGTTTAACTTAATGAGGGAAAATTATATCCGCATTAGTGAAAAGAACTTAAATTGTTAAAGTTTAATAAGGTAGAAAATTGTTTATTTAAAGGGGCCGGATTTTCAAACGATCGATTAGCATTAATTTGAAAACAGTTTTCACCGGTAATTATTATCAGTTAGTAATAAACTGAAAATGGCAGAGGGTATTTTTAACAGTGTGCATTAACGGTCGTACATCAGATTAAACTATTATTGAATGTTCTGCATTTTCCAACCTCATTTGTTTTACGCTTACCACAAGACTTGATAATTCTGTGTTCAATGTCGTGTGATGTTCTGTTTCCTAACTTTTGATAAGTTTTAAAGATATCTTGTGCTTCTCAAAATTTCAATGATGTTTCAGTTCATGCTAGTTTATGATGGAAAATATCTTCAAAATAGAATGAATCTTCGCAAATCACTTAACCAAATAACCTTGATTACATGTACATTGTTTCCATGATCATATTGAAAAGATCAAGGCGAAAGATTTGAGCAGAATAGTATGAATTACTTTTATTCCGTTGATAATTTATTGATTGGGAAGAAACATCGATATGATCGATTTTCATTGATGTCTTAAGTCAGAAGTTTTATATCTCTATTTACTTAAGCAAATACACAGTGAAATACGTTTTATCATAATAGTTAATCAATGTATTTTGATATCGTTCAAAAGGATAACAATTATGAGTAAAACATAAATCAGGTCAAGTTCAAAATGAATACTAGTTAATGCTTTAACTTACAACATAATTCAGAATAATACTTATTGTCATAAAATCCTAGAAGTATATCTCTTATCAAATGTAATATGATCATTTGCATAATTTAACTTGCTAGAATTCATTCATACACAAATGAATGTAAATGAGAAATAAAGAGAAATAAATGCGTTTTAAGTATAACTTTGTTTCGTTTCACTTTCTATTTGTTTGATAAATCTGTTATCATAACTTCTTTCTTAAACTGATCATATTACTAACAAGTATTTGTATGATTAGATTGTTTGAAACAGATTACAGTAATATATCATATAGTTCAGACAATCTACATTTTCTTATTGAATTGTCTAAATTTATGTTTAATAGCTTTGCAGATTGAAATAATGATTTAATCCAGTCTATATAAATTAAATACCTATGTGTCATTGACTTTATTCAAGTTCTTAACAAAGTTCATTACTGTTTAATATTTAATTTGTTCATACGGGAATACATAGAGTTATGTTTTAAACAAGAACCATGTTGTTGAATGATCAGCACTTGGACCATTAAGCTACGACTGCAGGTGTAATTACAATCAGTCAGGAGAATGAATCTACATCGAATAATGATTATGGTGTTATCTCGGAAAATTTACAGCAAATCTACTTGTGTTTTGTATACATATTGAATGTCTTCTAAGATATTGTAGTAAAGGTTTATGATTGAGAAATGAAACAGATTAATCCCCGTTGTTATTTGTAAATCCTATGTGGGTTGCTTAGATGTAGTGTTATGTTGCTAGTCCTAGTATATTTTGTATTTTACTATCAGTGAGGTAGACGACGAGCGTTTCGTTTTACTTGGGATTCTTCCGAAGCTTGTACCCACCTACATACCAGTATTAACATTCACACTGATACTTGAATCTAATCAGTAACGTGTTAAGAATTACGAAAAATAGGTACTGTGTTTGAGTATTAATGTGAAAATGAACACTGGAATGTAGATGTAACCAAATGACGAGTTCCAAGTAAGACGAAATATTTGTTATCTATTTCACTGATACCCAAATACACAACATGTTAAATGCTGACGTTCTATTCTCTTAACTGTGTGAAATTCTTTAACTGTTCTTGCGAAAGGAATTAGCTAATGTTTTCTCGAGTTATCGATGTATGATGAACAATTAATTCTAATTAAACATGAGCTAAAGTATTTTTGAAAACCAGGAACATTGGAATAGCTGTTTCATCAAACTTAACATTATTATAGAAGTAACTATCTGAAATAGGAAGGTAATTAAGAAAGAAATCAAGTTCTTTCTCTATTTGCCATGACTACGCTACATTTGGTAACGGACATAAATAGAAATAACAAACTTTATTTAATACCAGGTAGGTTGAGTAAGTCAACACTGACTGCTTTTGATAAGTGTTTGTTCTGAACTTTTTGAATGTCTGTATAAAACATAGTGGATTGAACATTTTAGTATGAGTGTTGGAAAGTAGCCTCCTGACGAAACGAATGACATGGACTAACTAGAGCGTTCTATAAATACATATGCTTTTCCCATTTTTCATTACCGGTTCAAGTGCGGATAAATACTAGGTTTTCTTATGTATTTTCAGTAGTTGAGAAATCGGTTGAATTACTGAGGTGGGATGGGAGTTATGTTGAGTCAACAGGTCGTCCAGCTCTGATACTGAATACTGCTAGCCCACCTTGTTACTTGAATAGAAATATTACTAGTGAATAGCATGAATTTTGTGACTATCTCGAATCGAAATTTATGAGCAAACTCATTCTTTAAGATAGATTTGTGGTCCTCAGAAAATTAAACCATATTTGCGATTAATAGCTTAAATCGGGTAGTTGAGTCAATTTTTGACCTGTATTGTGTACATATCAGTATTTCTCACTTATCATTTGACCCTTAACTGATATCCCTATCTGGTCCAGCCTATCGGGATTTAACGCGTTCGAAACCCTACTCTACTCATTTCCAGTTTACGTTTATCTTGATTTTGTGCATGCGTTAATTCTGATTGCAGTCGATTGCTTTCTATGCGCTTACTGAGTCGTCCGCTCACCTTTTACTCTTGTTCTTTAGTTTTTCAGATAACCTCACATACTGCCTCTTACAAGCACATGGTACCTCCTGGCTGAGAGCAATCTAAACAAAAGCTGAAGTTACAAGGATAGTTAAGGTTCAATAAAAGTACATTTCGCAATGCATTAAATCTTGAGTGACTAGTGAAGGACTTTATCATTATTTGGTTATCCTAAAGATATTTTTTATTAGAGATCAGTATCATTTAGAAAAACTGTTTCATTATAATCTGAGGTTAATTAACAGCTTGAATGATTAAACCTACATAGATTAGTCTTTGGTCAATCAAGATAATTTGTAACCTTTAAAATACAATCCATCAGAAATAATGTTACTTTCAAAATTGTTACGATGAAAACTTGATCAACAAATCCTTAGCATTGTTGATTGATCAAATAAAATACATCTTCAAGCACATTTAATTTATCAATTAAAGTTATGGAGATTGGTGTTTGTTGCACATTGAGATCATCAATCAATCATTCTTAGACTACCATCAGAAACCTGAAAGCACTGGACGGCCATTTTGTATCCCCTACTCCTGCACCTCGAAGGATTCGAGCCCAGGACCTTCGGTCTTTGCGCGCGAACGCCTAACCTATGGACAGAATAAATATTCTCAATTTATGCTATCTTAAACTTTTCATAGCATTCAATTATAAATCCAATCTTTATTTTAATAGTCAAAGACTCATCATCATAATTTAAGAACATAATTAGTGAAACAATTTGTAACAAAGTCACTTTTATTATTATTATTAGTAGTATTATCATCATTTGACTGTATTTCAAACAATTGGACTAAGAGAAAATTCCTAATTTCATTTTTATTTTTTTTTGTACAAAAAGCAATTGGAAATAAGACATAAGAAAATTTGTGCAAAATAAGCATAGAAATAAGCAAATAAATACAGAGGTTAAAGAGTATATCTATACGCGTATTTATATATATATATATATGTATGTATGTATAAGCACATATAATTGTATAGAAAATAAGAATTTCCTGAGTAATAATTTGAACATTGAACAAAGTGTTCATTGTTTCAACAATATAATCAATATACACAAAGATGTATGCATTATGATTGAATAAGAAAAATTTGTATCTATTTTAAGACGTACACACAAATAAAACATAATAATAATAATAATAATAATATGTATACAGTGAGTAATATGAATATAATTTTAATGAACTAGTTTTTACGATTATACAGAGTAGTAATACGAAGAACATCAAAAATTCACATGTTAAATATAGCTTCATTTAAAATACACATACGAAATAGACGAAATAAAATAGAAGCATTTTTTTTAGTCTAGATATAACTCCCTGTGTGTAGGTGTTTGTGCGTTGATAATTAATTATTGTACGTTTTCTTTTTGAAAAAAAAAAAAGAAAAAGTAACTAAGACGAAACAATATGAAGCTTTTAAGTAGTTTTTTTTTCTCATTTTCAAAAACCAAAATCATTTACTTCAACTCGTATTTTAATTTTACTAAAATTAAATTTCATTGATAAATCTTCACAACGTACTAAATGACCTAGACTACCACGTCGTATAGCCCAATATGGTCGACGAAAACGTTTACAACTTAAACGTGCATAACGTTCAGTCCAATAGTGTATATGTATAGAATCAGAAAATAGATTTGCATTTTCATTGCATAATAACGAGAGGAAATGAAAATCTGAACAATATAAATATGGTGAATAACTAACAGTCAATGTACGTATTTCACAATGTGTATCTTTGAATGCTGTATAAGCTAATAGACGAATATAATCAGCGAAAAAACAACGTCGACATTCATCAACACCAGTTAAAAATATATTCGGTTGTGTTGTTACACCCATATAATTTCCACTAGTATTAAATAACCAAAATATATGTATAAAATTTTCATAGAAATAAATAATTTGTAAAATTAATCCAGTTAAATTTAAAAAACCTATACTTAATATAGACATATTGACAATAAATGTTGTTTGAAGCATACAAATGAATAATTTATGAGGTGGTTGATTTTCATTAATTTGACATATAAATAATGGAGCGAATGGTGTACCTTTATAAATACCAATTATAGTAAAAGTAAATAAGATAGTACATCCTTGAAATACCAGCAGTACTAAATGTTTAGTTAAATATCTTGACCAATAGAAATCAGTATTTTGCCATGCAGCTAAATACGTGTTCAATGACCAATCTGCATGACATGCATGAAAACATGGTAGATCTAATAAACCTGGAGCTGATAAATCAGCATCACCAAAACTTAACGGTAAAGCTGGTGAGAGTGTTGGACTGTCAACAAGTGCACCACCACCGCCGCCACCACCACCAACTGCACCAGCACCTCCACCTCGAATTGTACCAATTGTTGCTGATTGTTGTTGTGCATGAATCACGGTAGGTGCAGTTGTTTGTGATAAACCTGAAGCACCACCAAATGTTGCAGCAGTTGTACGTCCACTAGCTCCATCATTTTGACAATTATATCCTGTTCCAGCATGAGGATAATATGAACCATTTGGATGTAATGTAGGAGGACCTGGTGGTATTGTTGAGACAGGTGATAAAAACGTTCCAGTCGGTGCACCTACATCAGTTGATGCAGTTGCAAGTGTTTGTAAGTATGCAAGTTCTTGAGTAACAGCTCTTCGAAAACTATGCAATTCAGCACGTACTAAACATAAATCACGTCTTGCAGTTCGATCTGTCAAACGATGGTACAAATAATGAGGAATCCACATAGCTATGGCATATATAATTAATACGAATGGATAACATTCATGCTGTAGACGAATAGTACTGATTTCTCTAGCGGTTACATCCGATTCAGAATGAATTTGACTTGAAGATTTAAAAGAATTTGGTAATGGTTTCACTGTTCCTTGAAGTACTTCTGTGGTCAATTGTAGACCACATGCACGGTCTATGAATGTGTTTGTAATGGTGTAATAATCAATTTTGTTTTCTTTTGTATCTGGAAGACAACGTGTAACGCCTAGAATAGCATGAAGTAACAAGAGAACAAATGCTTGGATTACAGGGATACATACACTCAGAATGAATAAAATCCTATCAATCCAGAAATTTGTTTTAAATCGTGAATAAGTGGAGGCAACAACTCCAGCACTAGTATAAACATCGGGATTAGTAAATACATGATGATCTTTAGATCCATGAAGGAATGGGATGTCTATGGAAGCCATTAATATTTCATCAGAATATTTCACGATATCTGGTGTTTATTTATGAAAAGTAATCGAACATTCGAAATAGTTGTCGAATTTTAAATATTTAATAATTATGCATTTAATAAATAAATGTCATAAAATCCATATTCAAATAATTTCTTGATTTTCTTTAAACTGATACAATTCATGAAATCGGTTAATCGAATAGCATCCACAATGATTCTCGCTACAACTTTTAACCGTGTTCTTTGAAGTTATCTTCAAGAAATTCTAACATTATTGAGGCAGTGCAACCATTGTATAAACAGAAAATCCTAAAATGAATCAGATGCGTGTTACATTGTACATTGTGTCTATTCGCCCTACCTTCAGAAATGTAAAAAAACTGGATTGGTGAAATCCATTTTATTGACCTCTGTTTTGATTCGCCAATCATTTTAGTTTAGAGTGAAGGCAACCAATCACAATGCAGATTTTAAGTTAGTCAGCAAAACAAATAATGAGACTTGGGATGAACTTACCTTTTGAGACAACAATAGTTTACTTGTAAACAAATTAAATTTCGAAAATAAAAATAATGATAAGAAAAATTAAATTTTAAATTTAGTGCCTACAAAATGAATTAATTAAATCTTATATAACAGTCATTTGATTGTATGAATCTGATAATTAAATAAAGTGTTATTACGTTGAAAACTGTTTGTATGGACTCACATTAAAAGAAAAAAAATCAAATAAACATCTACCCTAATAATGAAACTAGTATAAGCTTGATAGACGGACAATCACTGTCTACATGAACAGTTTAATAAAGTGAATTCTATGTCATTTCAGTAGTTTAAAGACTGAGAATCTTCGATTCGATATAGGATGAATTCTTCAGTGTACACTTTTGAATTAGAACAAAACAGTTTTTATGGTATTGATATTAATATTTCTTAAAAATGTCCAAAAAATCGACCTCATTAGGTTGTATACAGATGATAATTTTGTGATACAATAAAATGAATTTACATTACTACCTAGAAATCTTTATTATCTATGCTTTGTTCATAATTTCAATTTTTCTGAAAAATTCTTGTTCATCATCTTTGATTGTTTGAACATGAATAAGTTTACAATATAAAGTTAAATGCGATAAAAACAACATAATTACATGTACATATCTATAGAATTATGCACTAAAAGTTTTTTTTAAATTTACAGGCAAAAGATTTAATAGTAATTAAAATTATCTATTTATTTTGTACATGTAAAATTTTGTCCAAAATCACAGAATATTGTTGATGGGAAATTTTATGTATTTTCCTTGCACAATCTTCTTATGTTAATTTAAACCAAAAAAATTAACTTGTTTAAATTCAGCATAAAATGACAGAAATTATCATAATAAATGTTATAAGTAGTAGTAGTAGTAGTAGTAGTGTAGTGAACGAGAACACAGGTGGGGCAACCGAATTGTATTTAGCGAAATTACAGAGTTACTCAGTAAAATTGGAAAATCATATCGTAAATCGTTAATTTGCAAAATATCAGTTCATCATATCGACCTGGACTGTTCCCGCTGCAAAACATCAATGCAATGTCACTGTTCATGCGTTTCATACAAATTCCATTGTTTTCTAACTCTTCCTTTCTTGGTCTTCCCCCATATTATGCTGCCAGACATTACGTTGACACTCACGTCATATACTACTTATAAATAGCTCACACCACAGTAGTAGTAGTAGTAGTATGAAGCTAGTCTTATATATGAGTGAAAAAACTACTGTAAAGAAATTTTCAATAAAAAATAACCCTAAACTTAGTTATACGTTAGTATCCACACAATCAAATGACTAACCATGTATTCAATAAGGATTAAGAATTACTAATAACATTGTAGTAAGAAGCTTTAATCACTAGAGATACAAGTAACACTTAGAGTAGTGGTTAGTGTCTATACTATATAGCAAAATAAGGAATGTAACAAGTAGAATCCTTCTTCTTGATGTACAGGTAATGTGTTCTGTAAGAGGAGTGTAGTCCATGGGTTCGATCCTCTCCAGATTTCGGAGGCGAATTGATAAATCGTTCCAGAATACAAACTAAAAACTTCTCATCCATCAGTGACTTCCTCTGATGCCCCCCAGGGATCCCTTCAGCATTGAGAAGTCAATTTTCTGATGTAATTTACTTAGACATTCGTGTATTTAAATTTGATTTTTATCAGAATCGGGCAAAAATGATAGCATAGTCATCTTCCTATGAGTGCTGAGTGTGTTTTAAATATTTTACTGGCGAACCCCATGAATCAGAGAGGTATAATTACTACTCATTATTTCTGTAGCCCCTGAAATTTAAACGAGGCTTGAAAGCGGATGAAAATATAATCTGACTTTCAAGCCCTCTGGTAAAACGAAAAATATATCACTCTTTTTCACAAAACAGACGTTGAATAATATCATTAATTTGATTATGGAGTTAGAAAATAGTCAACTGGAAATTTTGTCTTCTTAAATTAATTTTCAGTCAAAAAGTTTGTGGTTTTACGCAGATATCATCACATCACAAACTGTTTAGTCTATAGATGAATGAAAACAAATAAATAAGATAAGCCTTTGAGAATCGATCGATTGATTAAATAACTTCAAAGTCATTTAGAACTTGTTGCATATAAGCAGAGGTGACACACACACACACACAAAATAATCCTTTACTTTTGAACACATTGTTTAAAACAAATAGTCAAAAAAAATGGTTTTCAAAAAATGAATTGCAATTAATTAATTAATCGATAGTACTTGTTTTATATTGAGCGATATAATTAATGTTAAAACTTATGAATTATTCCTGTGTTGAAATTGATAATTTTCTGTTATCATGAAATAGTGAATATCATCTCTTAAAATTTCTTTAGAAGATTAAAAATTCAATACTCAAGATTTGTATTGTGTATTTTTTTTTTTCAAATAAAAATTTATTCTCTTATCACCTTATTCAAATCATAAATCTATGCATAAACTAAACTGAGCTAAATGTTTTTATTTTTATAATAATCCGATAAAAATTTATACAATGGATTATTTCTTCTGTCTAATTACATTAAATAAACGCTTAATCATCGATTTTCATCAGAGAAAGAGGTATTCCTGAAATTTATGCATATTATTGAATTATATGATTTACACAATTAGTTAGCTTTAGGTTAAACAATCAATGGAAGCTAAGATTCACCAGACAACTGTTTTTTTCCTAACACTATACTCTTTACATGAATATTTATATGTAAATGTAAACCAATCAAGCCAATTTGAGTCAATAATCACAATGCAATGAAATAGATTACGTCACGTTTGATCTACTAATGATAAAACTTTTGTTATCGTGTTTTATTTTTCTTACCACTATCAATACACCTGTTTTCCTACTATCAACTTTTACTTTTGCCTATTATGTGTATGACGTAATCTATTTCATTTCATTGTGATTATTGACTCAAATTCCCTAGATTGGTTTACATTTTCATATAAATATTCATGTAAATTAGAATAAAGCCTGATAACGATCTAATCAAAAACTATACTCTTTAGCAATGTGTGTCTATGACTCTATTCCAGAGTGAACCCATAAACATTAGGTTGAGATCAACCATGTCGTGCGTGAAGGAGTAACCCATCAATAACTTTCGAAGTTGATTGCAAAATATCATGAATTGATTGAAGTTACTAATGTATATTCCTAGAGATCGACTAAGTGATTTAAACGTTATATGGTCTCAAAATCTTTGTTTTAGTCTTCAATGTGGTTATAAATGCACACCATTGAGGAAACCCATATGAAGCCAAAACAATTGTGTAATGCTTCATAGTTTAATATGATTGTCTGTAGAAAAATTGTGATGTAAAGTAAATGAAAAAAAAATAGTTACAAGAACAAACTGATTAATTGATGTCGTAATCTTTTTTGTTTAAGCACTTGTTATTTAAGATTTTACACTATGAATGGTTGTTAGCATAATTTATATTATTTAAATGATAAGATAAAGTATATGTCAGTGGAAAAAAAGCATACATTCACATTCATTCATTGATTTATCAACGTACAAATTTATCATCCGAAGACAATAATTCATATTGACACCAATAACTAATCTTCTCCATAACCAGTTATACTTCTACTATCTCTATCATTATGGGATTTGAATTAACAATTGCGTCTCTGTGCTAATATTGTATGGCTAACTGAATTGATGTACTTATGTACGAAGTTCTAAGTTGTAACTGACTGAATGACCAACTGTATTTTGTTAATGAGATAAGTATAGATCAAATGAAAGTTCCATAACAGTCCTACTTTTTCAGGGAAATATTCAGGCAATCAACAAAACAAAGCATAAATCATCTATAAATTTATCAATAGATGAAGTGGTGAAACTTCATCAGTTGAGGTGGTTGGGACATCTGTTACGTATGCCTGACCACCGACTGCTCGACGAGTTATGTTTTGTGTTGTAGGATTAGATTGGAAGCTCGGGGCAGCCAAACCAAAACATGGAAGAAATCCATGAAGTCACTGACAAGTGGACTGAGTCATGTTGGTAGATGTAGGCTACCTGGTTGGGGTCCGCGAGACGAAAGTTACCAATGGTTAGAGGCCTTGAATGTCATGGCTCAAAACAGTTTGCAATTTAAATATATTCATTGGCATGAGGAAGTATTCTATTTGGTCAGTGACAGTATTTCTAATTATCATACTATTTAAATATGAATTTTTAAATATATTTTCAGTGTACCTTAAGGATAATATTACAACAAAGCTCATAGCCATTCTAGTCAATTACCTCTTATAATCAAATAAAAATAACATGTTGTCCAAATATTATTAGTTTTTTTGTCAAAAAAAGCTTTAACGTACATACTTATAATTATAAACAGTTTTAAATGAAGTGGTATCCTGTGGAGGACATCATTATTCGTTAATATTTATTAAAAATTTATCATCTAAAACAAATTTTCAATTTAGAATTCTTATTTTAAATTGTTAAACACTTGAAAT